TGAGACACAATTAAAGTCTATCCAACTTAATATCAACCCCAGTATTGTTTTCCATGAAACAGGTCATCATTTGATCAACAACTCCTATAAATGCTACACAAGTTATTAGTAGTTAGAAGAATGGCTGTTAGCCAGGACTAGAGTAAATCTGTAAGTTGAGCGGTCGCAAGAAAAAGATACCTGATCTCTCAAAATGGGGATAAATATTGTATTTTCACTTTCTATTACTGCATCAGAACAATCCTGGGATTCTACAGCCATGTAAGTTGCATATGGAAAAACCATACAAAATCAACTCTCAGAGATCAGTCTACTACAGTATCCTGATTACCGAGCTCGTCTCCAGCAGAACACTCCTTAGCAACACTGATGTGCAGGCTATTACAAGGACACAGATCAGGCAGAGATTTAATTTTCAAGAAATGAGTGTTTTAAGATACAGGTATTGCTGATACGAAGTCTGCATATGGAAAACCCCATATCACTCTATCCTGTGCAATACCATATATTTTTAGGAAAGATAAGAGTATAAAATTTAAATAGATATAGACAGATATAGATATGTATAATGAAGCTAAGGTGTTTTCAGAAGCTTTTCATTTCTGTGCAGGGAGAACATTGCTACTACAGCAACATGGAGCCTAATAACTGAGAATTCACCCTTCCACATAGAGAGCTTTGTTACAAGTCAGAGTAAGACATCAAGACTCTGGGGTTAAAAACAGCCAGATGGTTAAGCAAACTCAAGTTACTTGTGCCCTTTATTGTGACACAAGGGAGGATTAATTTCCCATCTCTCAAAGAAATCGTGCCTGCTTCCTTCTGAGGTATGCAAATGTCAGGTCTGGCCTTCCCTGTTTTGATGGAAGTGTCTCTGGAGAACACCAACAGAGAAGCTGCACAACAGCCGGCTGACACCTGGCACTTCCCATTCTCCCTCTCGTTACAATGAGGGTTTAATATGGCAACAGCTTCTTTAACACCATGACCCACTGCAGATCCCTACAGGTTTCTCCAGCAAATACTAAAATACTGGAATTCAAATTTTTATGTGTAAGAAAATAAGAAGGAATGGCTTAAAACAAACATGAGAAACAATATTTCTGCATATTAGCTTTTAATCATTTCTTCCTCCGTGCCTGTGTATTGTGTGCTGTGAAGATGAAAGCTGTGAGATGTTTTCATGCCGTGAATGAAGCTCTATCTAACATCATCTTTTGGATATAGAGCATCAAAATGAAAACAACACTAAAAATGGAAAAAGGAACAAAACCAAGATGTAACAGAAACATTCTGGCTTAAAGAACCCTACTTTGTACAGTCTGCTGGAGAACACAGATTCTCAGACTATGGCAGTGAATCTACTCTGAAGTAGTAGATAAATTGAGAAATTGCGACCAGGAAGAGAAGGTTGCAAAGGCTAACAGAATGCTGTAGCAGCTATTCATGTGCCTTTGTAGGATGTCTGGCAGCTGTGACATGGTGCTTCTAAGTAAGGGATCAAAAGAGCTCAAGCCAGATTTAGCCAGTGTGATTGACACAGTAGCTGATGTCAAATTTGAAAACATTGCGATTAAATAAGCATTTGTTTAATAATTTTCCTAGATTAAACAATTACATCTATAGCTTTATTTTTTTTTTTTTAATTTTACCTTTTTTAATCTTTTGTTAATAAGATCTGCTCTCTAATTTTCTAAACAGTGTGCAGGGTGTATTATTTTCAGGAATTTTCAGAATACTTAGCTCATCAATAAAAAAAAAATACCCCTTGAAAGAAAGTCACTGCCCACAAAAAAGTATTTTAAATCAAACTTTGAAAGTAGTCAAGAGTTACCTGTTACCTTCTACTAGATTTCCCTAAATCTTTCAAAGAGAACAGTTACCTTTAAAGGAAAGCAGCTACTGGAAACATAGATAAGATGCAAGTGTTGTTATTCACTCCATCAGCCTATGAACCTTTCTTTAGCTTTTAAAGGGATTACAAAAGACTACATACACAAAAATAACAGAAAAGCAAAACAGCAAAAATAAAGACCCAAAGCCCAGCTGCTGTCAATCCCAAACTGTCCATTTTCGAAGGTCTTGTCCCCCGTTTCCAAGTGCACTTTGCCATCTCTGAAAGGCAGCCTTTGATGCAGCACAGACTGCAAGAGAGAGACCTGAAGAAT